AAAAATAAAAAAACCCTTTTTTTTTTTTTTTTTTTTTTTATTACCAAATTTCAAATGGAAATAAATTCATTATCCTATCTTGCATCAAAGAAAAGGTCTGTTTTACAATCCAAATAAAATACATTTCCAGTCCTTGGGTATAAAATCTGTTTGTACAATGGAATCAAATGTCAGTGTGCAAATCTCACTATAAGACCAAGTAATGATGAGTTTTGTAGTCAGATAAAGTGTGTGACTGGGGTGGGGGAGGTAGGATTTTTTTGTTAAGTAATTCCTAAATATTTCACTACTTAAGGCGATCATCTGGCACAGTGTTTTTCAGCTCCTGAACGTGTGTAAGATTTGATTTTTCTTTGGCATTTATTTACAGTGGCTTTTTTATTATCAGATTTGCACCTCTACTGGAGCTGGCTCGTTTTCCATTGCCTCTGCATTCTCATGAAAGGTTATGGTGCTCCACTGAAATATATATATATATATATATTTTTTGGTTTTGTTTTTAAGGTTTTGTGCTTTAAAGCAGCCAAAATGCACAGTGTCCTTGTGCGGCTGTACTTGCTTCAAAGCTTTTGAATATGTTGCTCACTAATGTGCCTTATCAGAATGGCTGGTTTACTATATGTGATAGTCATCTGCTTATTAACTTTGCCTGTGTTGAAAGGACTGCAGTTATTTGAAGCCTTTTGTTATTTGTAAAGGTTTTTTCACTTGAAGTTAATAGAATATACATTCGTAATTTCAACAGGAGGTTTTTGACCACTTTTAATTTAATACAGGCGAATGTAAAAACATTAAGTATGGTTTGGCAGCCAGAAGTGAGAGTCCTGCAGAATGTATTTCTCATGTACCATGACTGTTCTACTAAAGAGTAGGAAAGAATCAAATTATTGTGCGATAGCATGTGCATAACTCCTTATTAAATTAAGCTTGTGAAATAATGTTTTATGGATTATGACAGGTATACAAATTGCAGTCCAGCTAAAAATGGATGGCACTAATGTGACTGAGCTGCTCTTGAAATCTGTGACCATATTCAGAAAACAGATGTTTGACTGTCTGCAGCCTGCCTGTGGTGTATGCGAAAGTTACTGGGGTTATTCAGTTTTAACTCTGGAGCTAGTTCAGGGAACATTGTTTCTTTCAGAAAGCAGTAGGTCAAGCTGCATCATCTGTTTACAGAGTTTCATGATATGGTAATGTTTTACTTTAGTACTAAGGTTGGTTGGTTTTCTGAAGTGACCCATTATATTCCAGTCAGTCAGAGCTATAGTTTAGGTCCAGTTTCTCCACATAATTAACTAGTAGCTTTGCTTTTAGAACAGCAGTTCCCAAACTGGGTTGTGACCCCAAATGGAGTCATAACATCAGTGGAAGGAGTTGTGGGGGTGGGGGACTGTGGGTTGGGAGTGAGAGGCCATGCTGAGGAGATGGGGTGTGCTGAGGAAAAGTTTGGGAAGCATCGACTTAGAACCTTGTTTTATGTAGCACTACTTGAAGTGCACCAGTCTGCAAGTATGTGATTTAATTCATCTAACTTTTCAGTAGAATTCTAAATTCCAAAGTAGTTTTTTGTTACAACTGGCATTTCTGTGTGTATTGTTTGTTTCTCTGACACAGAATATAAGAAATAAAATACTGTAATACAGTAAATGTGTATGATGTAGTTTTATTTAAAATCTGTTTTGTACGTTTGCCACAAAATAATCACAACAATGTATTATACCTCTGACTGCCTGGTTAGTTATTTCAGACACAGCTTCAAGCATCTTGATCTTACACCAAGGCATATTTTATCGTATTGCTGTGCCAAAGATCACAGCCTGACTGTCAAACTTTCCATTTTAGCCTCAAGTGAAAAATACAAATAGAGCTGTATCTAATAATGTGTGTACATTCCAGGTGGCTTGATTGTCCTTTAAAATGTATTGAGCATTCAGTAAGCCTCTAGACTAGTGGTGTCTATTAGATGAATGTTAGAAACTGGTGGGAGAATAAAAAGGTGACGCTTATGAAGGATGCAGCAGCTCCTATAACAGAGCATAGGATTCTATAACATAGAAGATAAGGTTTCCCTCTACAAGGAACAGTTGGTAACATTTTAATTGGAAGCTACGGAAGACTTTTGAAGGAAGATTAGGTAGTTCAGTAAAAACGAATCGTTTTGAATTAGTATATAAAATGGAAGGTTGCAAATATATTTGTGAGAATAATGGAGGAACTATTTTGTTCCGTCATAGTCATAGCACGGATGAAGTTCTAAAATCACTGGAATAATGGGTATTTTTGGAGTGAATTGAGTAATGCTGATTATGAAATGTAAAAATGTTTGAGCCTAATTATAAAAAAAGAGCTCTTGTGATATAATAGAAGCTACTAAAAAGATTTTTGTTTTCTTTTATGTCTAGGATTTAGAAGAATTCTGCTTTAAGTTTTGTGTCAATCATTTGACAGAAGTGACACAGACTGCAGCATTTTGGCAAATGGATGGCCCTCTGCTAAAGGAATTCATTGCTAAAGCTAGTAAATGTGGAGCCTTTAAGAACTGAAGCACCTGGCTGTAAGTTTTGGATGATGTAAGGTCTTATGATTATAGTTGGTGTGCTGTATTTATCTGCAACAGGCTGATAAACAAAAAACAAAAGCAAGCCAAAAAACCTATTCCTTTTTATTTATACCAGAGGGTGTAAAACTCTATAGAAATGCACCAAAAAAGAATGTTCTGTGTCCTGTATCTATGCTTTAAGAGTGAACAGTGGTAATTCAAGTCAAACTTTCAGTCACATTGGCAAATCTGGAACTCTAGACGTTGTTTTGAGATGGCTGTAGTCCTAAGGGAGGGAAAACTGAAGCATGAAGATCTTGAGCGCTGAAGATTCATCTGTTGCTACCAGGAACTGGAATTTCGTAACATCATGATCCATTAATATTTTTAATAAAGTTTGAGCTACCATCATTTGGTTTTGGGGAATTCCAGCATAGTCTGCACCAAACCCTTGAAATGTTTCATGTGAAATTCTAACCCTATGGGCTTATGAAGGAGCAGATAGGACTGATTTATTTTTATTGTGGTTGCATGATTATGAACTTGTTTGTAATTTGCTGTGTATAAATCACTAAGTATATTCAAGGCTTAGAAGAAATTGGAAAAAAGAAGTAGCTACAAAATATTTTCAAAGAACTCCTCAGTCCTTAGAGGTAATATATGTATTTAGCTATAAGTTAAGGAGGTACCTTACCACAAATGGTAGTGTAGTCTACTTCTGTGCAAACAGTAGATATAATGATAATTGAAAGATGCAGTTCCCTGTTTGTGATTTGTCCCCAGAAGTATCTTTTGAAATAAAGGGGGTGGGGGGGAGTGGGGACATAAGACTACTGTTGGAAAGTGTTTTTTGCACTGAAGTATTGTATTAAAAATTACTTGTAATAAAATTGCCATTCTTTTCAAATCATCTACTCTAAGCTCTTTGAGTTGAGGAAATGTTACTTGCATTTTCTTTTACATCTATTGCAGTACCTACTAGCACTGCCTGGTAATGAAGCATCTCTGAACTCCAGTAAAGAATTACTTGCTCATGTACTTAGCCTCCGTTCAGTGCAGTACTGGAATGCCTCCCACTCTGTTAACTTACAATTGCAAAACTTTGAGGCATAAACTTTTGGACATTATTTGCAAAGTGACTAAAATATAACAGATGCTACTTCAAATAATTAATTAGCAGGGAAGTTGTATTGCCCATTCTAAAGGAACACAGGGAATGGTTCAAGGTTACACATGAGGTATGCAGTAGAGCTGCTTGCTTTCCTTCTGGCTTGCAATGGAATGAATTGCAGTACTTACTCTAAAGGCTTGGCTTGTGGAAAGGAAGAATGGAGAAAGAAAAGATTGTCCTCTAAAGGAAACCATGTCTGGTCAATAATTAGATTGGAAAAAGAAGTGCTCTGATGAAATGGAATACCATGAACATTTCAGTGGCAATTATGGCTTCCTGTCTCCTAACGAATAAGACAAAAATGTGTAACCTGCGTGAACATAATGTAGATTTTGCCTAATTCCAACTTCCTGTGCCAGTGGTTGGCAACACTTTACTCATGTAGGCTGCGGATAGCAGGTGATCATTTCCCTCTAGCCTCTGCAGCAACAGTGAGTTAGAGGCTGTAGTGAGGGAGAAGAGCTGGAAGCTACCAGTGTACCATTAGCAAAACAGAACAGATCACATGGCTGGGGATCAGTGGACCCTTGAGTAAGATGTGGACCAGATTGAGGCTGCGAAGGTCCAGTGACCCACAGGCCAAAGCCAGTCTTATGCAGAGTAGCTTTTTTTTTTTTTCCCCTAAAAGGGTACCTGCAGCAATCAAGGCTTATGCTTTTAAGACTAGAGTCTTAAGGTTCAAGGCCTGCTGACAACCCACTCTGGGGGCTTTTCTGACCATCCTTTAGATCTCTGGGGAAATTAATAAAGACAGACAACTAAGTGTCTAAGGTGCTCCCTGTGTCCTGCTGTCTGCTTGCCTACTGTGTAAACACAGCCAGTCAGAGCTACCCCATATGTTTAGTTGGTCCTAATTTTATTTTTTTTCTACTTTTTTTCTGAAGCTGCTCAATTTAATAGTAGATCTTGGGTATAAGAGCAAACACATTTAATTTAACAGATTATTAATCACCAAGAAAGAATATGCCCATTAGGCAGAATTAATGTTGGTGCTGTATGGCTTAAGCAGCAGCTACCGCAGTTTGCTACCATTACATTAAAATAGGTTGCTGCAAGCTGTCTGGCAGGCTGATGCTAACTGAGATGCAGGAAACAGATCTGGGCATTTTCTGTTGTGTAATTTAGAAGGAAAAAAAACCAGAGCAACAGGTGGTGAGCTCCGGAAGTAATAGATGCTGCATTTTAGATCAGGGCTGTCCAACTTCTGAATATTTGGGAGCTACATGTCGCATGGGCCCCCTGTAGTGGCTTCCACATCCTCCTTCACTGAGCTGCGCCTTGCTATGCAGATAGCCCCAAACCATGGGTGCCATAGGCTCCACCCCACCCTGCCTCTAGGCATGGTGGCAGGAAACTGAAGATGGAGGAGGGAGTTAGAGTCTGGAGACCCCAGCAGCAGCCAGAATTGGGGGGGGGGATGGTGCCCAGATGGGAACTTGTGGGTCACAAGTAGGGCAGCCCTGTTTTAGATAAGGAAAATATAAAGTGTTTATGCCACTTGGGCCAGCTCAAACTAACCTAATCGTTTTACTTTTTCCTAGCACTTCTCTTTGCAAAAGCAGTGAATAAATTAATATGACATGAAATTGAGCAAAAGGATAAAGGTAATGTTCCAACACCTGTAAGATCACTTGAATCTGTTTATATTTTAAGATTTATTTCTTTGGCTGACAAGGCCTCCCTGCTCCCAGAGAGAAATGTAAAAAAAAAAAAAAAAAATTCTGCTCCTTACCCCTTTCACCCAAAGATTTCCAAAGTACTTTGCATGAAATACTGTACCTATTACAGCCTGAATGGCTAAAATTATTTCCATTTTATGGATGGGAAACTTGAGGTAAAGTGAAATCGTGATTTTTAAAGAGAAGTTCCAGAGTCAGGAGAAGGGGGAAGCTTATCTAGCAGTGTTGTTGTTTTAACTATTCAGAAATGTTTCAGTCTGTGAAAGAGACAGGGGATAAAAAATGAGTTTCCAGACTAAAATTTCGAGATTAAAATTTAAAGAGGAAAAGAAGCATGAACTATAAAAATAAGTATAGTGTATGATTCTCTTCAGTTACTGCACATCGTCTTAAGCAAAAATACAGTTGTCTGAGGGGTACACACTGGCATAGATTTTGTATACAATTTGATTAGTTGAAACTCTCTTCGTCATTTTCCCCGTATGTAGTCAGCCCATTTTATTCCCTCTGTCTGTAGAGGTTTCTCTGTCGTCTTCATTTGAAGTAGAAATTACTGAAGCTCAAATCTTGGAGTGTATAGATACCACATCACTTGGTATGGGTTCTTCTTACCCTTGAAAGGCTGGAAAAAACTATTCTGTCAGTGTTATGAGAGGCTCTGTGCACATGGGGTGCATCCCCATAAGCAGGAACATGTTTCCCTGGGGACAACTAGCAGTGGCACAGTGCCACTGCTAGTTGTCCCCAGAGAACATCTGCGCCATGCGCAACCTAGCATGTTGCCCTAGGTGGGTTAGGAGAGGCTGGGGCCAGTACAGTTGCTGTATGCAGCAGCCTTATCTGGTGCTCTGGGGGCCTCCCGGGAGCTGCAGCTGTGGCACTCCTGCAGCTGTGAGCCTGGCTAGGCTCTGGTTTGGGTGGTGTGCGCTGCCACCATGTACGCTGCCCCAGTTTTTTCAGGTGTATGTTTTTTGACCCCGGGATCTTCTGAGGTCAATCTTCCCCATCCTTCCCCGGGCACACTGCACAGTAACAGCATAGGGAATGCCTGCATATGGTGCCAGAGTGTGCACTTTCCTGTGGCTATCATGGGCACATCCAGACTATGGCTTCAGAATCTCAGCTTTTCCATTTAAAAAAAAAATCTGGCCCTTACAGGCACACACCTACTGGTCCAGGAGGTACTGAAACAGCCCTTGATAATACTGTAGGGCCTAGGACGGGGCAGGCAATTATTTTGGGCAGTGGGTTGCTTACTGAGTTTTGGCAAGCCATCAAGGGCTGCATGACAGGCAGCCCAGGGCAGATAAATATTAATTTTTCTAAATTTTTTTTAGGGGTCCCGCGGGCTGGATAGAATGGCCTGGCGGACTGCATCTGGTCCCCGGGCCGCATTTTGCCCACCCCTGGCCTAGGAAATGGCCAGAATGTAACAAGACTGGTATATAGGTTGTCACTAATTTTCTGATAGCTAGAGTATTTTCTTCAACTATGAGGTATAACTGTGTGAAAAGGGCATTTGGTGGTAGCTTGGGTGTAGAATTTAGCCCCAGAAGTACAACATAACCTGAATCAAGTTCATTATTATCTCAATGTTCAAATTTAGGAATATTACTTATTAAAGGTAACTTCCCTAATGTTTACTGACAAGAATCAATGTAAATAATTGCTTTAGTATACCTGAGCTAGAGGTGTAGGCTCTTTATTACTAACTTATTAACAGGTGCATGTTCACATACCTGCTGTTGGGGAAGTACTAGACAGAGTTCCAAGAACGGTATTATTTGAACTAGATAATTATGCCTTTGGAAGGCATTAATGCTTAAGGAGTTTCCTTCATAGTTGGTAGGGTTGGAAGGGACCTGAGCAGATCATCAAGTCCGACTCTCTGCCATGGCAGGATATAGTACTGGGGTCAAACGGCCCCAGCGAGGTGTTCATCCAGCCTCGTTTTAAAGACCCCCAGGGTAGGAGCCAGCACCACTTCTCTTTGGAACTTGGTTCCAGATCCTAGCCGCCCTGACAGTGAAGTAGCGCCTCCTGATATCTAGCCTAAATTTACTTTCTGCCAGCTTGTGACTGTTATTTCTGGTCACTCCTGGTAGTGCTCGGGGGAACAGGGACTCCCCCAATGCCTGTTGGTCCCCCCGACTAGTTTGTAAACGGCCACTAAATTGCCCCTCCTCCTCTTGCGAAGGCTGAACAGGTTCAGGTCCCTTAACCTCTCCTTATAGCGCCTGCCCTGCTGACTCCTGATCATGCGGGTGGCCTTCCTCTCCATGCTGTCCACATCCCTCCTGAAGTGCGGCACCCAGAACTGGACGCAGTACTCCAACTGCAGCCTGACCAGTGTCACATAGAGGGGGAGGAACACCTCCTTGGACCTGCTTGAGATGCATCTGTGGATGCATGACAAGGTACGGTTGGTTGGGCTTCCTGACTGCTTCCCCACACTGTCAGCCCATGTTCATTTTAGCATCAATAATGACTCCCAAGATCCTTTTCTGCCTCTGCACTGACGAGAAGGGAGTTCCCCAGCCTGTAGGTATGCTGCTGGTTCTTCCTCCCCAGGTGCATCACCTTGCACTTGTCAGTGTTGAAACCCGTCCTGTTCTCATCTGCCCACCCCTGTAACCTGTCTAGGTCCAATTGCAGCCTATTCCTCCCTTCTAGCATGCCCACTTCTCCCCACATCTTAGTGTCGTTCTGTCATTAGCAGTTCTGGCCAAATCTTATCCTGATATTTTAACAAAGAAAGAACTGAGACACAAGAAATATAAGCTGGCCCTGTCACAGGATTTACATAACATGTCATGGGTGCAATAAAAGGGGTGAGCAAGAGCATCAGAAGCCTTTTAATGAGATGTTAGCTTAATTATTTCCCTGTGCCCCATCCCCACTATTCCCAAATTTCTTTACAACTAAGCTGAGATGCCTCATTAAGTTTGCTTAATGTATCTGGAGTTGAACTTCAAGCTAAATAGTTGTTCTCATTTTATTTCCACTCAATAGGAATCTTAGAGTGAGTAATGTCAGACACTCGTCCCCAAAAATCAGAAACTAACTTGAAGCTAGTAAAGAAGAATCTTCTCCTTTCCACCTCTCTCAAGCTGTAACAAGTAAAACAGCACAAAGGTTAAGATGAGGGTTGGCTGGGCTGGGCTATTAGTCGCACTGATTTAATACTCGAGGTGCTTAAATCCTAGTAAAAAACCACAGAATACATACTTTTGAAGATTTCATTCCAAGCCCTTGCTACTAGGGTGTAAAGACTTGAAAAACCAATACGTGCAGAGAATAAGGTAGCAGTTTTTAAATAAGTTAAAAAGGTACTACATACCCCATATGCATTTGGTATAAAATTCCCTTGGGAATCTTTGAAAACAACAGATCTAATTCAAAGCAAATTAGAGCTACAAATACATGTATGGTGTTAGTCTCATTTATCTGTCATAGCACTACTTTAGCTCTTTTTTCCTCCCTTCCTTTATGGAGGGAGGACTTCCTGGAAGAATGTCTGCTCTTGCCCATGGAATCATCCCCTATTTCTACCTGAACAACCCAAATATATCCTTTTGTGCTAATTATTGGGGAATGGTATTACTAGTTTTGCAAAAGAGCAAATGAACAATGTTAGTGCCCTACAACATGTACTTTAACATGTGTAGTTTAACTCCATCCCATAACAGATCAATAAAGGTTTTTAAAAATCTACCTTTCCACCTGTATTTTATCCATTCAGTGAATCGAGATGATAAAAGCAGGGGTTTTGAAAGAATTGTCAAGGTTGTGGACTAGCAGAGAAAAATATACAGGATTCTACTCTACAGCATATTTTGGATGCTGATTATGTTACTAGCTTTAAGTACAAAACATGTTTTACAAAAACACTTTATTGTCAAGTTTTTTCCATTTTTTTTCCCCCCGTTTTGTAGCTAAACAGTGACTTTTTCTGTAATCAAACCATTTTAATATAGGAAAGTTTAAGACTAAACACATGGATGCCAAAAGTGTTCCGAATTCATAAAGGATGATAACGTGTTATTTGACATAGTCTTAAACTATACAGGTCTGTCAGTGAATAAGAGCCAGCTATCCTTGGCAGTCTGCAAATGACTGACACAATCTCTCAGCACTGAAGTTATAAACTACTACTTAAACATTAACACTGTAAATTGAGGAAAACATTTAATAAAAACTCCTATTTATGATTCAAAATGCTTCTTCAAGTGCAAGTTTTGCTAATATTCCCTCTTTGGAAGCCAAAGCAGCAAAATAGTCTTTAAAACAACTTAATCTCATTGTTCCCTGTCTATAAGCAGACAGCAAAAAATCAGTGATACGTGGTCTGAAGGGAGGCTGCCATAATGACTGTGAAGAGTGGTCTATAGCAGCTAATTGTTAAGAGGCTCCAGGCCAGAGCTTTTACAAATAAAAAATCTTTTTATGGATCTTTTTTTGTTTTCACTTGCTTGCTTTCTTACTTTTCTTTTTTAAAAAGAAAGAAACTCATTGAGCCACAGCAAAAATTAAAGGGACAACAAAAATGTTATTGCAACAGTGAGGTATTTAAAGAAAAAATGATAATAAAGTAAATCACCCAGTTTTTGCTAGTATCCCTGTCATGGTCCCGGTAACTTCTGTCACTTAAAAAACAAAGTCTTGATTGAAGCCACTACTATAAGACTTCATGGCTATTCAGACACTGAACTAGATGCACTGGCTCTGTTTTCCTGAACAGGAAGGACTACTTCTTCTTTTAACTCTTGCAGCAGTTCAATCTGAGTATCCAGCCTTTTCCGGGTTTCAAGAAGTTCCTGAATCTTTTCTTCTGTCCCTGTGGTGAGAAGAAAATCTTAAAACCCCACCACCCTTATTTGCAGTAAAACACACAAATATATGCATCTGATCACAAATTACTTAAGATCGTTTGTTTGTCGAAACTTCACCATGAACAGTTCTCAAACACATTTTGTTAGGCTATCATGTTTTATATTTTGATTCCGTCACAAGATGGATTTTACTTTGAGCACTGGAGTTAAAATGCATGGTGGTGGGAACACACACTTATTTGTTCCAAACTACAGTCTGTATTTGTTGAGGGCTCTCCTGATGAGGCTAGATTTGACATCTTTAAATAACTCTTAAAACAGCATTTAAACTTGAATTATTACATTTAAAATAGCTAATTAAAAAGAACCAAAGACATCATTTCTGTGCAGTGTCACTTGTGTATTCCTGTAAAATAACGTGTATGTTTGCAATTTATTCTAAAAATAAAGACTTGGCTGCTCACCTAGGTCCCAGCCTTGACTGGAGGGAAGGGGTTGGAGGGATCACACCACTCCCTTGTGTGCAGTCAGTGTAGTTTGCCTGCTCTAATCATTTCTAGAATTCTTCTCTGCAGTTGGAATTCTGTCCAGTGAAGAGAGAGTTAAACACAGCCTGGCAAGCTTCTAGAGCATTCAGCATCCTTTTAAGGCTGCAGGCCAGACTGACCCAGTCAAAGGCAGGCAGGTGCTAGAACCTAGCTGCTGCTAGCATCTTTCCCTGTAGTGGCAGGGGAAGGTGATTACTGCTGAAGCCCCGTGTCTGCAGACCAGATCAAATGCCTCCCTGGGCCTGATGTGGCTGGCAGACTCTAGGTTTGTGATCCCTATTCTAGAGGTAAGTGTTAGAAAGGATCAAGTTTTCTAAAGGCAGCCTCCACTGGGGTGTGCATGCTCCAGTATTATATTTCCAAAATACCTACCACCAGAGAGCTGGGTTTTCCATTTCCCACGGAAAAACAG